CTGCCTCAGCCTCCTGAGCTGCTGGGATTACAGGCATGCACCACCCAGCTCAAAATTATATATATTTAGTGCACCTTCAATCYTATGCAGCCTGATAGTGAGATCTTAACTAAGACTCTTAGAGTCAAGCAAGTGGATTGGGGAGGGAGCAGAAAAGAGGAAAAGGAAAGATACTAGGGAATGAAATTGATCAAATTATGTTATATTCGTGTCTGAATATGGCATAGTGAATACCACACTTTGATGTATAATTATAGTGCACCAATGAAATTTTTTAAAATCTGGGAGAATAGAATGCCTAGTTAAAATGCATTGATGTTTTCAGATAGTCTCCTTTTTTCATAATCATTGAATATGTTAGAAGTTCACTTTTAGGGCCTGCCTTTCATATCCTGTGAACAATTCTCCCTTTTAGTATCTCAGGTAATGAAATCCTGATGTTCTTTTGCCAGAAATGTTTCCTATCAAATTCTATCAAATCTACCCGGTAATGTTCAATGTTTCTTCCCTTAGCTGCCTAACATCCTAGATGACAGAATCATTTTTTCCAAATTTTCTATCATTTCAAGTCATTCACTAAGTCCTTCCATATGACTGAAACAAGAATCTGAAGTAGCATTTTTTCTATTGCTACTATTTTCTCCCAAGACTCAAAATGAATACAGTTATGACAAGAGAATGTTCTAGAACTCTCTGAGAATTTCTATGTTGGCCTGTCCATTTCTATTTAGGTAGACACTGTCTCACTTTACATTACCCTACTTCCTCTGAAAGAGACCAGAATGTCCAGGATTTCACTCTTTACCAATGCCCCCGAGGAAAGTTCTAAAACTTGGGCCTATACAATGAAAAAAGCAGAGTTAAGCCCTGAAGAGCTTTTCTTTGAAGTTRGTTTGAGGCTTTGAAGTCAAGATTTTGAGACGAAGGGAAAGTAGAGAAGAATTAATCTAGCCCTTAGACTTGCCTGCAGCTTTTACGAGGACTTGYACAGCTAAGCGCGAATGTCTAAATTTGAAGCAGGCTATACGGAAATTGAAAAAGCAATTTGGTCCACAGCCTAATGCTAATATTTTAGAGATCTCATTAGTGTTGGACATAAAGTGGTAGAAGTATTTTTGGAATTTGCAAATCTTTACCTGTTGTTTTGGACCTCGCCTCATTGAAAGGCCCTTGTTTGGATCTATGATCTCATTCCCCCTTGACCTTCCAGTTGTTTTGATAACAGTCTRTACATTATAGCTCATTAGAGTTTATAACGAATATCATTTTATCACCATTCTTATGGTTTTTATTGTTCTTACTTCGAGGGAAGGTGAAAGGTTCAAAGATATTAATTATTCTACCCCAAATCACCCTTTCAAGACTCAGAGCTAGGCCCTCTGATTTTTTAAGTAAAAAGCCATGAAATGATTGTCCTAACCACAGCATTCTATTTCCTCCCTCCAACCCCTTTATTTCTACCTGCATCTTGAAATTACACATTGAGCCCCTTTTTTAATCCAAAGCCCAGCTATGTCTTGTAAATACCATCATTATGAATTCCAGTCAAATGAAACAAGTGAGGGAGACCCCAAAAGGGGGAAAATAAGCNTTTAATCAAGCATTAGATCATGGAATATATATATATATATATATATATATATATATATATATATACACACACATACATACACACAAACACACATAAAGTTATATATAATCATTCATATATATATAAGTATGAAAGTTCATGTGTGTGTGTGTGTGTGTGTGTGTGTATGTATATATATATATATATATATATATATATATATGAAAATTCAGCACTCTGGCTCAATATGAAGATAAAGAGGTATTTTTTTTTGTTTCCCTTAACACTTCTAAGACTTGTAGCTATAGGATTTCCTAATTAAAATTATATAGCACCCAATATACCACTTTAATATTACCTCACCAATCCTATTATGCTCATGTAACAGACTTAATAAGATATATGTCTTTCTAAGGAAGTCAAACTATGAAAATTCTAGCAGTTGGAAATACTTCCATCACTCCAATTTATAGATTAGACGAACAAAGGGTTCATTTTACATTTGAGAAGATTGAGTCTCCAGGAGGAAAAATGCCTTGTCCAAGTTTACATGGCAAGCACATGGCAGACCTGGCACTTAGTTCTAGGTCTCATGACTCCAAGGTCAGTTTTCTTCAACCCATCCCATCACGGTAATCAATTGAACTAGGAATTCAATGAAAATCCATGACCCGGTTAATCCAATGGATGCCATGATGATGACTTACCCTTACAAAACTGGCAAGTGTGAGTAGCATTCTCCTAATCAGACTGCTCTGGAAACAAATGCAGTAAGCATGTTCCCAGATGTTGTTCCACCCTCAAACAAACCTGTGATGTAGATCTGATAATATTATCAACAATTTATATGTGGGGAAAACTAGAGAAATAGCCTAGTCAATTCATAGTGCTGGCACTCATAGGCTTTAGAAACAAAACAACTGTCAATGTATCAATGCTTTCTGTTGTTTCATGATGCCTCTGGAAGCCGTCATTTGAAGAGCCTGGATTCTTCATTTCACAGAGCTGCAGGAATATGGCTATACCCCTTACCATGGGGCATGCACTTGCCCCATCTGTGGGCAGTAACCTCCATCAGTTACTACCAGAGCTCCCTTCTGTTACCTGTAAAGGGGTGACCTACAACCACTCAAGCCCTAAACTAACATTGCTTATAGTGTGTGCTTCTGGGTATGTGGTTTACTTTACTAATTCCACAAATCTCTGATAGCAAACCTATTGTAATCCATTCTGCTGATCTTTTTGCCTATCCTTTTGCTAGGCCAACCTGTCTTCAGGAAAGTTCATGCTAGAGAACATCCGATTCCCTCTACTGTAATCACCTTCGCAGGTACTCATTTCATTATAGTCCTTGGAAACCACAGCCTTCAAGGGTTCTTTGGGTCTTTAGATTCATGTGGTTTTGCCCTGTCCCCTCTAAAGCATTACTAGGTAATGCAGTGGCATCTCTGGAAGCCAGGGATGCCATGGTTTACCAACAAAACCCAACCACATCATGGCAGAACAGAAGACCAGTAGCATAGAGGTGGCAGCCTAGACCTATAGAGAATGTGATCCAGTGGCCTCTCCAGTTTCAATATTCCGTATTTCTCACCAATATCTCTTCTTACCCAGGAGCCCAGTCTTTCATCCCAACTATCATAAAATTTCTTCAAAATCCAAGCCATATTTCTTCCCAGATCCTGAATTTCCTCATGAACAGATGATAGTACATATGTGGGGTTTCTCCTTAGAAGAAATGAAGGAACATTGACAGAGTGATGAGGGGGATTATGCAACTTTACCAGATTTACTCTGGGTTTAAGCTGGATATCATCTCCTGGAGCTAAGTCTCTGGATGAGAACAGGGATTTTGCTTATCCCTCATCACTGTTGCCCATCACTAGCCATGATGGTGGAAGCACTTCTGGGGACTTTTCCTCAACCTCACAGCCCACATCCCATCCAATAATCATGAAATCCAGTCCTGGCTACAAAATTGTTCCAGAAATTTTCTCAAAGAAATAGAACAATCAAGGTTTGGAAGCTTCCATTAAAGAGACCAGCCAGACTGTCAAGTGACCACTGCTTTCAGACTTGTCACTACATTTCTGAATGAAGAACCCAAAGAGTATTGAACAAAGTGTTCTGCTGCTGGCTTTGTCCCCTTTTCCCAATTCCACATCGTTTGTTAATGTTTTTTTAGTCAGTATTTCCATTGCTGTGATCAAAAGRAAAAGTTTATTTGGCACTCAAGGTTTCAGAGGTCTCAGTCCACATGGCWGACTTCATTGCTCTGGGGCAGAGGCGAGGAAGGACATGTTAGAGCATGTCAGAACATCACACCAGGAAGCAGAGAAAGAGCTGTCCTCTCATCAAGGACAAATATAGACCCCAAAGATATGCTCCAATGACTAACTTCCTCTAGCCACAGCCTGCCTGCCTATGGTTACCACCCACTTAAGCCTTATCAGGGATTAATGTATTAATTAGGTTAAGACTTTCATAACCCAATCATTTCACCTCTAAACTTTCTTTCATTGTCTCACACATGAGCTTTTGGGGGACACCTAATATCTAAACCATAACAGTTAAGATAAAAAATTATGACTATACCAAAGAATGTCAATAATAGTTCCTCAGGTATAGATCTCTATTATGAGATAGACCATGTGGGCTGTGTTGTTTTCTAAAAAGGATGCCCACTTGCACCCCTTCACCTCACAGTGGTTCTGCTTCAAAATACACCTCGAACCAGGAAGCATTAGAAGCAGCTTTTTATAATTTTGTTTTTCCTAGATCTTGGACCTATTAGCTTTTATTATTTATTGCTTGTAAAATCAACCACTCAAGAGAGATTCTCCCACTGGTAATTTTATCACAKAATTGTTTTACTGACTTTTAACAGTGGTAGCTAATTATGCATTTTATCTTTATATTGTTTGGGTTGGTTAGGAACTATGATGTTAATGTAATTTATTCCCAACTTCTCGATAAAATATGGTGAGGTTTAAAAGTCTACATGTATATATAGGGAAGACAGGAGAGAGAGAGAGAGAGAGAGAGAGAGAGAGAGGATTAATTTTCTCTAAGAAACAAAACTAAGACCAAAGCACGTTATCACTTGGTATAAGTGAGGAAATAAGCTGGCCCTGACTACACTAAAATGAGCTGGTTTGGGTCCAGTGCTCCAAGTGGAAAGGAAACAGACATTATAGTTGATCCAAGGGGCAGAGGGAACTTTTTCCTACTCAATAAAAAAGTATCTAAACTGAGGACACTTAAAAAAAAAAAAAAAAGAATCAGCTCTCTTCTTTGCCAATGTCAAAAATCTAGACCATAAGTAGTAATCAGTATCATTGCAGATCAATGATGGAATTTATCCAGCTGACATCTCAATTATGCATAAATATAACTATACCTTCAATGTTCATGATACTTAGCAAGTGAAAACAGTCCTGACCCTTCCATGATGCTGTGCGCTTGTACCTTGACTTCTGCTTGCCCAGAATGCACCTGCTCACCCCATTGCCTCTTGGCCATGCTTGCCATTACCTGGAAAGCTTCAAGGCCAATTTCAGTCACACTTTCCTGAAGCCTAAAGCCTTCCCTGACTCCCTCAGGCAGCTAATCACACCYCCCACCCTGGTCCCTCAGCCCTTACCACACAGTACCAGAAGTTGTTCATCTATATGCCTCCCTTCCCACTACACCATCAGTTTCTGGAAGATGGGAGATTGGTGGGGAGGACTACAGCAGGGCTGACATATTGTAGGAGTGCAATGACATTTGTTAAAAGAATAAATGTGATCCATATTTTTATGGATAGAACAAATAAAATATTTTACTAATGGAGAGCCTCACAACAAATACTTATTCAGCACCTACTACATTGCATACATTGTATAGACCCTGGAGGATGTAAGAATGATTCAAGGAGAAATGAGACACATTGTTCTCACTCAGAAAGCCTGCAGGCTGGATATTTGTATATAAAGGTAATTAAAAATTAAAAAGAGCATATGAGAGTATTCAGGTTSTGTATACACAATGAACATTAAAGAATTAATTAAAGGTTCATGTGGTCATGGCTAAAACCCCAGTTGTCAATTGGAGGATATGTCATGGAAGAAAAGGAATGCTTTTGAAAGAAGAGTAGGATTTGAGTAGATAGATGTAGGAAAGCCTTTCTAGGTATATTGATAATGGAATAAAAGTACAGTTTGTTGTAAGAATGTAGGAAATGAGAGAGACCCAGTGCCTTAACTTTTCTTTTGGTTAGTATGAAATATGCTAAGACAGTATTTCCTAAATTTTTGTCATTCTAATAAATTTTTCCCTTYGGTTGCATACCAACTGTGCTGTTATTGACTTAATGAAATTGTTTGAAATTGCCTGTTTTACTTACTAAATTTGCTTTAAAAGAAAACTTTAAGTCAATAGCATAAGGAGAACTAGCAGTCATTTCCATAAATACAAAGTAAAATTTTACAATGGAAAAAATGCTGTTAAATTCTAGCTAGATACTATATTCTCTATCTTAAAATGCTAGAAACCCAAATGCTGGGAATAGTTACAGACCTAAGAGCATCAAACTAAGCATGTATTTATAATCAGAAGGGCTGAGGATTACTGATAAAGTATCTTTTTACTCACTCAATTTCATTTACTCCCATGTCTATTTATTTAATACCTCACGTTCCAAATCAGTTTCATTTTGTGGAGTGCTACACTAAACCATTCTACCACATCACCTTGCTTTCATAATTTCTCCATTTTTTTCTGCATAAGTTATCTTTAGTCCTATCAAAAGCAACTTGTCATTTATAAGTAAACTATAGAAAATAAGGCCACAATAAATATTCTCCCCCAATAACTTTGTATTCAAATAGATATCCAAGTCATAAATTTTCTTGTAAGGAAATAGGTCCTTGTCAACATAGGTCTTTCATAGATCTGTGTTGAAGCAAGGTTTTGAACAAAGGTACTAATATAACCTGCTGCTATAAACAATACCAATGGTCCAAGGATCAGAAAGTCATGGGAATCAAAATATGTTTGATTTGAGCACTGGATACATTGAACTTCACTTAGCTCAGTCGACCCTCTTGACTAGACACACGTAGTTTCAAAAAGACAAGTCTTGGATATCCCCTCCCCCAGAACGCTTTGCTTTTTCCTTGGGTCACAATGTCCCTGTGCTGATAAAAAAAAAAAAAAAATACCACTTACAGTTAAAATTAATTCTTTCTTGTTCCTTTTCTTTGCCCCTGCTAATGGTCAACAGCTTCTGCCCAGTCAGAAATCACTCATTTTAAGTCTTCATCTGATTTCTTTGACATCCTGTAATCACTGGGGATAGGAATGTGGATTTGAAAAATATCATTTATATACACTAAAGAATTCATTRATACACTGCATTCTGCTCCTGCCTTCCGTTTGTTTTGACACTTGAAATATAAAATGCTGGCAGTTCATTTGGCACATTTGTCTCCTACCTTTGCAAGAGAATGGTCTAGGGACCATTCTCTGCAACAATTAGAGCTACTGCACCAGGATTCTTGAGCAGAGAGGAAGCCATGAGTCTTCAGAGGTAGTAGGAGGTACAGACCCCTTCAGAAGCTGATGTCTAAATGCAAATACAAGAGTTCTGGGCAAGAAGTCCCTCCTTTATATATAACTCCTGAGACCACAGACTCCTATTGCAGACAATTTTTCTGGGTGTCCTAGAGGTGAGAGCATTAGGGCTGAGGTCTTTCCATATCACCACTGCTACTTCCCTGGAGATGACATTCATTCCTCTTGACATGAGAGGAAGTAGCCTAGTCTGTTCCAGCATCCTGAGCCTAAAGGATAAGGATGATTAAAGGGCTAGTGTGTGTCCTCCACATGTACATGGCCTTTTCAGTCCAGGATTGGTCCTCATGACCTTGATGCAGAGAGAGTCAACTACAAGCTTTCCCTCATTAATGGTCTCTTGGTTCCATTAACATTTCCTCAGCACCCACTAGCCTATCCTGGAGTGTAAGCTACATGGTAGTTGTGGAAATAATCATGCTCACGTGGTGAGTCTTAACTCCCCAACGGCCTCCCCCTCCCCCTCCCTGTTTACTTTAAGATTAACATGGTCAAGGTTTCCCTAACACATTTGCACCAGAGAGGAAGCACTGGAGCCCATGCATCTCACGGAAGCATGGGATGGATGTTGTGCTGCTTAATTTGTGACAGAGGCTCTTGGCTAGTGAGAGGCTAAGCTCAAAATTTCCTTTCCATCCTCTCTTTGGCCCTGGGGTATTTTCTGTTGCCTCTAGAAAGTGGAGAAGAGAAAGCCAAATTTCTCCATCCCAGGGTTACTCTAGGACTTTTAATTGTGTGTGTTTCCCTTTGGTCACATGCTGAAGGAATGTGTACAAAGAGCCAGCTGAACCAGCATCACAGAGAACAGCTGGGAGATTCCCGGAGCACAGACAATGTGCAGGCAGGGTCTTTCTCAGTGACATGCCCCTCTGTGTTACTTTTCTTCATCTGCACTTTTGCCTGAGCTTAGACACTGGGACATAATCACCTGCTGTCGGAGTGATGTGTCGCCCAGTCGCCAAGCATCTGTCCAGTCCTCCCCTCCAGCTTCACGATCTTACCCAAGGGACTTTTAGTAGGTTGATAGGGCTTCCTTCCTCCCTCCTTGGTTTTCTTGTAGCAGGATCCAGGGATTTCCAAACAAAAAGGAGCACATTGTTCACTGTCCTGCCTTCCTTTCCCCAGAGGAATGTGATGACAAACAGCCGCTGACCAGCAAAGAGGAAGAGGAAAGGCGCATTGCCGAGCTGGGACGGCCCATCTTAGGAGAGCACACCAAGCTGGAAGTGATCATTGAAGAGTCCTATGAGTTCAAGGTATGCCCACCCTGGAGGCCTGCTCACCTGGGAACACGGTGGTTCACCGTGTTGGCCCTGCTGTAAGATGCATCTAGAGGGAGGGGGAGATGTGATTTCAGGGACTGGATCATTCATTGAAAGACCTTTAGAGCCAATTGGAATTATGGAGTTAGTAGGGAACCAGGAGTCCCTGTAGACTCCAAGCAGCCTCAGAGCCAGGGCCCCACAGGTGGCATCCATCTCTGCACAAGGGGATAGCAAGGAGGACACAAAGGTGGATACCAAGAGACTGTTAAGATGGGAGAAAGCTAATGAATCTGTCAGAAGCAAAGTGTTGACATTGCTAAAAATTAAGAGGCTTTTGCTTTAGAGGTGGACTGTAATATCTCTATGTAACTTCCCACTGACAAGCTGTCATTCATATTTAGTCGCCCTCTTCAGCCCGGGAATATGTTATCACAGTCAACATACTGAAGTTATAGTGCCTGCAGCCCCAGATTTTATAGTTGAGCTGATACAATTGGGTCCCCAATTTTCTGGATGATGGAAGTCATTCAGAAGTTAATATATGGATTTTGGAGTAAGCTTAAAACTTGGAGGTGAAACTCCCTGTCAATCACCAAACTACTTCCTCAACCCCACATCACCTCCCATTCCTTCTCACCCACAGTCCTAACATCTCAGAAGACCACAAGTGGAACCACATGTCACATCTGCAGTGGGATATGAAGAGCTGCATCCCCTCTCTTCAATTCCAGAATTACAAACCCTGAGCAGAGCAGTTTTATCCCTAATTTTTTTTCAAAAGCAGACTGTTTCTGCTCAAAAAATCAGAAAAAAAAATTGCCAAAAGAGATGATCTAGCCACGAGCTTAGAAACCTCAGTATTTTATCTAGATTTTTTTTTTTTATATAGAGGCCTCTTTTCCTTTAGCTGATTTTCTTAATTACTTTTAATTTTGGTTCACAAATTGAGGTGCCTGAGAGGAAACAGGTAAAAAGAAAGATGTCTTTGCAATTAAAATGGAATTCTTAAAATGTAAAAAAAAAAAAATGCAGTTAAGGCAAGTATGGTGATATATGCCTGTAATTACATTGACTTGGGCGGCTGAGGCAGGTAGATCACAAGTTCAAGGCCAGCCTCAGCAATTTAGGTAGACCTTTTCTCAAAATAAAAAATAATAATAAAAAGTGCTGGGGATGCAACTCAGTACCACAATAAAGGGGAAAATAAAGCAATTAAACTTTTTTCTTCACGCCAGTGATAATCTGTTAGGACTTCCTTTCACTCATTTTCATAGAAAGGGGACAGGAATAAACTCTAGAGCCAATGCTTTCTAGACTTGACTGCGATCATCAGAGCCCATCACATATGATCTGGAACTTGGCTCATTGCAAATCCATGAGTGGAACATACACAAGTTTCCTGTAGGGGATGGAAGTGTAGTTCAGTGGTAGAGCACAGGCCTACCATGCACAGGGTTTTGGGTTCAATCCCCAGAACCTTGTGACTAGGTGTGTTCAACTTTGTTCTTCCTCATGCACCTTCTTTTCATCTGGTTCTATTTGCTGCAGCAGAGATTCTATGGGTTGGCATTTCTGGAGCAAATTTGTCTCCATCCATGCCAAATTTTTCATGGGGAATTGTATGTTCTCTCCCTTATGGGACAGTACCCAACCGTTCCCTTCCATGTACCCATGACAGAAAGAGCAATCATAGTGACTTCCCTTAGGAAGTGTTGAGTTGGGTGAGTCTCCCAGGAAGCAAAGTTTTCTTGGGTCCAAATCCCTCTCTGGTCACTACTCCAACAATCTGAGCATTGGAAAGTACCCTCAACCTCTTTACATAAGTCTGGTTCTTTGGTGTACTTATCCTCTTAGAATATCTTCAACACACTATTTCCTCTCATTTCCTCCAAATTCATCAATACAGTTACCATTGACATCTAAAAGGCACCTTGGGGGCATGTTTCTGAAGCACCCTCAGGTATCAATTTTGATATTATATTATTTATTCAAGAATTTAGTTTCCCATATCATAGCCAAAAAACATGTTTGAGATTCCCAGAACTGCATTAGAACTCCAAGTCTTAGTGACATTTCACAATATCTCCTGTGCTTTGCCCACTGAGTTCTTACTACTATTTTGTAACTAAGAGCATGACTTTACTGACACCCATTGGTGAGGGCGAGGTTTTCACCATCTCTCAAAAGTCTAGTGTAGTAAAGAGCTTATCCCTGGCATTTAGGAACTCCCCAGGTAAAAATGGACAGCAATGTTAAGATTGGTTTATCTTAAACATTTATTCTTTGGCAGGTATTTTTGTGAGGAAGTCTGTATCCAATATCAGAGCAGTTTATCTGTTCAATTGTTTATCTCCCAGGTGATGGGTTTCTCCCCTTTAGTTTTAGCACAAAGGGCTGCTTTGGAGAGAGCTTCCCCATGTTTCCATTACATGTAGGAAAAATCAAGGTCATTTCTTGTTTCATTCTATCCAGCACTGGGAATTGGCATCTACCAAGATGCTCTGAGTGCTTGATGAGATGTGGTTGAGTTGAGAGAGAAAAGACAGACACTTGTCATGTGCTCCAAGTTATTGTACCCAAGAGCACTGACTATTACAGCTGTTATCGGGGCACCAGCAGTTCTAGACATAAGGCTAGAAGCTGAAAGGTCACCACCCTAAGGACATCCAATCTAGCCAAGAATAACATTACAAATACAGAGTGAGCCAGCTGGAGATGGGCCCTCTCATGTTTATTATATTCTCAATGCTTCAAGTCAGTTCCAATAACTCTCCTTGGATTAACATGCTTGATATATAAATTGGCTTTGGCCTCCCATACAGGTCCCTCAGATCACATTTTCTTCACTCCCAGTTAGCTGATAATATGTTCTCTCTCCAACCATAATCAATTCAGGTACACTGTATTGACCATGTACAGATTTTGACCTAAGACAAATAATACATGTTTTCTGCCTCCTTGCAATTAGTGGAAATTCGAGGATGCTCTGACAGTAAGTGTGGATGCTTGGTAGACTAGTGAATGTAGTAGATTCTCTGAGAAGAGCAGCCTCAATGTCTTGGAAATGCCCCTTTTCCTGTAGTTGCCATGATTTGTGGTAGCGCTTTGAGTGCATCTGCTTAGTTTTCTTGTGAACGCTTGGCTGAACCTGTTGTTACAATAACTAAATTTAGAAAACTAGACAGTACTAATTGTACAAAACTAAGTACTTTGAAAGTTCTAAAGAAAAATAAAGGGCATGAAGCACAGCACTAGTAAAACAGGGAAATTCTTTGCAGGGTTATTAGCAATGTGCCCTAACTCTTAAGAAGGGATCTTTGCTTGTCTTATTTTTCTTATGTAACAGGAATGGAGTGAGAGTGGAATTCTCTACTAGCCACAAGGCTGACCAAACTAATAGCCAAAAAATCTATTTATTAATGACAATGCAGCAAGCAACCTGAGACTCTGTTACCTGGCTGCATTTCACTGGTAAACAAAAGAACAAGATTAAGTCTTTGGTTTCAGAATCTGTCAATCAATTCCATATATATATATATATATATATATATATATATAAAATGCTGAGCAAAGCCTATATTAATTTAGTTGCAGACAACCCCCTACAGATAAAGCCAGCAGAGAAGCCAGTTCACTAAGCATTCAAGAGGAATGGATAGGCCTTTGCAACAGCTACTATTCTAAACACTGAGGCTGTTTTTCATTGGCCATTAGTCAGTGACGGAGGCTTGTGTGTGCTGCAAAGAAGTTTCCATTTCAGAATGTTTCCAAGAAAAGACCATGCTTGTTTGCATAATCATAAAAGTGTTTGAAAAGAAAAGTATTTGATATCAATACTGTTGTTCTGAGCGTAACATCTGCTACCCTTTACATAACTCTGAGGTTTCCAACAAGGTCGTAGATTTCCTCAGGTCCTAACAAGCCCAGCAGTTATTATATTATTTCTTTCCACCTTTCTAGAGTACTGTGGACAAACTCATTAAGAAGACAAACCTGGCCCTGGTGGTGGGGACAAACAGCTGGAGAGAACAGTTCATCGAAGCCATCACTGTCAGTGCTGGTGAGTGCCTTTCTCTGCAAATTGTAAGTTAAAATGGCCAACCTGAGCGGAGTTTTTCTACTATGCCATTTAGTCTATGGCAAAGCACCAAAGGTGGTAGGATCAAGAGAAACAAATGTATTTTTTGCATGTATGCATCTTTTGTACATGAAAWTAGCCTGTCTAGGTGAAGCAAATGGGTTTGGACATGCCACTCTTCTCCATCTACCCTGAATCATTCTCTCTGGAAATAGACAATCTATATGTAAAGCCTTTTGTGTCTCTGATTCACTGATAGCCAATCACAGAGCTATCTCTGGAAAATTCCAAGCAGCACAAAGTGAGCAAGTGAAGGTCAGGAAAAAAAGTAAAATCATAGAAGGAAAAGATATTAAGATATCTTACCACTACCATCTGCATCATTTTACAATCTCTTCCACAACGCTTAACAAATAAGCTTTTTACACTAGCTCCAAAAGTGCAAATAAAAACACATTCTGTTTCTTTCTGTACAAGCAAAGCACAGAGTTTTATTAGGAAAATCCTGCAAAAAAAAATGAAATGTTTTTCAAACTCTAGGAGTCAGAGGCTGGGGGAAATGACATACAAAAAGAAGTGTCTTCTTCCTGTATTGTCAAATCGTGTTCACTCTGTGGGTGACTATATAAATAGAGAGGCAACTCCCTCTTGAAAAAATCATGAAAGCAGCACAACCCTGGGATTTTCTTTTCCTTGCTTTTCAGTTCCTTCACTGGTTCTTTCTTTCAAGATCCCCACAGACTCATCTTCCACTGTTGCCGTGGATGAACATAGCTAGAGTTTCCTAAATAGTGATTCCCAAGCAGTAAAAATGGAAACAGCGTCAYGAGCAGTTGGGCCTTGACTTGTAGCACAACCTCCTCTCTCCAATCGGCCATAGGATAATTTGACAGATCTCCCAAATACTGTGGCAACAGAGGGTGGTATAAAAAGATAAAAAATGAACCATATGTACATTTGTTAGTAGTGCTGTTTGTAATCACACTGAGGTTTCTTGCAATTGAGCATACAATGGGAATGCATGAACATTAAATGATAAATAACTGCTTAGGAGAGTGGATTTGGAATTTCCACTGAAGCTGTACTAGAAGGAGTGGGAAACTCCCTCTATATAGCTTATATCATTCTATAAATCTAAGATTAGCATCTGAAGCATGAGCTATCCTCCCTCTTCGCACAGAGAACAGGCAAAACTGCTGATGAGATCAATAGAAGAAAACATTAAAAATAGCCAAATTGTTTTATGGGCTTTGACATATTAGAATTGAAACATTAAAGGCAGCGTAAGCCTTATAGTGAACTATTCCTAACAGCTTCTGGGTTTCCTTTGGCTGCAGATACATGAACATTTTGTATAATAGCCAGGTACTGGTCTTCATTCATTCTATTTTTCTATGTGTCCTTCATTGCTCTTGGTGAACAGTGAATGAAACAGGAATATTCCTGGCCGAGTGGAGTTTACATTCTAATGAATCAGATGGCAAATAAGACAAATAAGTTAAAGTGGCTGGTGAGCTTGTCATGGAGAACATGGAGCCTAAGGCCAAAGACAGGAAGTGTGTGCGTGGGCTCCGGTTTTAGTTACGTGGCCAAGCTGATACCATCAATTTTAGGACCAATATGCTTTTCTAGCAGTGGAATGGTTTTGTTTTGTTGGTTCAATCACACATTTTTGTAACTCACAGGAACCACAGCAAACCACAGCAGTAGGAAAGGGCGGTTTTGAACAGTGAATGAGATTATGCCACCAACAAGGCCAAAACTGGGGCATTTGCGTCTGGTCAGAACAGAGACACAATTATGGAGATGTTAATGCTTCATTCCTCGCAAGAGATGGATTTTGGTTTTCGAACACTTTCATATAGTATGTGGAATTAAATCTTCTCAAAACGCCCCAAGGCGGGTGTTGTGATTAACCTGACTGCCAAGAGGGAAGCATCTGAGTCTTGCAGATGTGGCATGGCTTTGGAAGGGAGCTGGAACCCCAGAGGAAAATTGCTCACCACCTCTGTCTCAGGGACACAGATTGGCTTTTGTCCCCTCTTCTGGTGCCATGGTGTCATCATTCCATGGTGGGTCTAGCTCCTAACCAAATCTTTTTAAAGGACTGTTAATAAATGAAATGCAGAGCCTCTCAGGCTTTCTTATTTGTTATACAACATAATGTGTTTTATGTTTCTAAATGACTTCTTGGAGATAAGACATACTGTTCGGAAATTTGTAGGTTGCTGGGTAAATTGACCTTATTTACAATTTTGAGGCAGAAACTAACAGAAAAACAGATACATAGTTTATAGGCACAAAATTAGATTAAATTACATGAAAGGCAGTTTAAAAAAAAAGCTCATTGTTTGTCATTAGGATTAAATTTAAGTGTCTAAAGAATGCTAATACTCTTAGGCTATTAAACAGACCAAAAAAAATTGTAAAACACCATTTATTGATGACAGAATTTCATTGGATTTTTAAGATTTCATGGCTAAATAGTTGAGAAATGGGAAGATTTGCCTTATTAAAAATATTAAATTGCCTTTGAAGGGCTCTACTGAGAGGTTTTTTCCTAAGTAATTTTCTGTGCAAAATTGAGTCCGTATATCTTGCTAAACAAAAGTAATAATTTCGTAAGTAGGGTTTTGCTTCACTTCCGCACTAACTATATTCAAACTATTTTCAAGATAACCCCTGGAAATTTTATTCCCCTGCTTTTCTTGAATTTCATGGCTCAGTACCTGGGCCTCCTATGACCATAATGTTTCTGTGATCCAAGTACTTATAGTTCAGTATTTGAAGACTTAAAGGACTTATGAGACTCCAGAGATTAGGAAGGGATTAAACAGTCATGTCCCAGCAACTCTCCTTCTGTTGCTTCCCGGTTGAATACCAGGAGCAGTGGTGTGTGGCAGTTAAATGGCTGTCAAAAACTTGCAAGGCAAGCCCTAAAACCAGGTGCTTTTAGGATATGTCAGCACATGCACTTTTTAATGAAGCTAGCACTCACTGCCCATTCAGTTTGAGTTTTTCCCAATTTCTTCTTCTTCCTTGTATCTCCCCTAGGGCAGAATGGGTGGGTTGACCTTAAGAAATCATGTGCCAGCTGCAACACAAATCAAAACAGGTTTGTCAGAGCAGAGGGCAAACATTAGCTGGGTAAAGACAGCCAGGATGCCAATGCCAGTTCCACACCACCATGTTGTTACTCTTCACAACAGCCTTGGGTCAAGGTAAGGTGAAGGAAAGAGTGGTTGCCAGGCTGTCTTAGAAAAAAGATGGGGATCTCTGTTCCATCCCTTCTGGGGTGATTCTGAGCAGATTATTTCCCCACAAGGTCTCAGTTCCCTCTTATGTAAAGTGGAGATAAGTATGCGTCACTCAGTCACTCACGGAGTTGCCATAATACTCATTGAGACAATGCCAGCTTTCACAAGGACCATCTTGACTTTTGGCCATGTATTTAGTTTTTCTGAATTTTAGATTTATCATCAACATATATATGGTTGGGAGACAAACATATATATCAAAGATTATGCAATAAAATAACACCCAAATTTGTTTAAATGCAGTTAATTCAACTTACTAAGAGCCAAGTGGCTACAAACATAATGGTTGACCTATTTTTGTTTCCTGGTGAGTACTCTGGGTACCATTTTGTAAATAAGAATACTGAGATTCAGAAAAACAATGGAACTTGCTCAAGAAGCAAAACAGGTAAGGGGCAGTGCTGGGGTACAAATCAACCCAGAACTCTGTCCAGTGTGAAGAGTGCACTGGCTTGTTGTGCCTGGGGCCTGAGCACACATACCAAAACACACAAAGGTGTAGAACATATGTATACACACAGACATGCATGCATTTGTGCAAACACATGTGAAAACACAGAGGGCCACATACAAATGCACACAAACACAATATAGAGATACACACACACACAGGCTCATGAAGACATGGATACACAAAACACATGCACACAGACACAGAGACATGTGCATGCATCTCAAACGGCATCTTTTTGTTTTATATATTTAAACTGTAGCTTGAAATATAAAGATTTTTTTCCTTAATATTTATTACTTCCTTATAGTCTCCTTTGCAGTTCCTGGGGGAGGACGATAGAGAATAAAGGGAAGTGTTTGTTTTCCCAGTTACATCCACAGCTTCTCTTGCCTCATAATTTCTGACATTTTTTTTTAAAGAAAGTCAATATAGTACTCTTTCCTTTACTTAACAATTTTAAACACCTAGCACTAAAGATTTTTCTGAAAATCTTTTCCTTTTGACATAGATTTTATGAAACTGACATAAAGATAAAAACACTTAAAAGTAGAAAAAATAAAAACCTCTTTGCAGTCACGGTTCTGTCTCTTGGCATAACTTTTGGCCACGTATTTAATTTTGCTGAATTTTAGATTATCATCAACATAATGGGCTAGGCTGGATTAGGTTCACTCTAAGATACCATCCAGTATGGCAATTCGGGGCTCTTTCCCTGAAGCATCTCTGATGGCACTGGGTCCTATGGTCCACTGCACACCCTGCCCACCTACCTGGCCTTGCCCAAATTAAATGTTCAGAGCAGTAACACATACACTCCATATCCCATATTCGTTCTCCTAGAATGAAAGGGATGAGGGAACAAAGTTTAGCCTCCAAGAAAAATGATGATGATGATTCAAAAGAGTAAAATTTTCTTCCTGTTCAATAATCAGAACTCACAAATTCTGTGGAATCTTCCACAGTACAATGGAGGGCATTCAACATGAGGCCAGGCCCGTGCAGGTAACTGGTCTACCATGCTCACTATGCTACAGCTTCAGCCTTCCATGTAGGCCATGGTCTCACAGGAAGCCTTGCTAAGTTTGGGGGATGCTGTGTGCCAAAGTCCTTCATCCCTGCAGGCTGTGTGGACTAGGAAGTACTCTCAATTAAGGTGAATTATTTAATATCAAAATAATATTTAATATCACCAACTCACTGGTGTCCCTGGA